GAAGGAAGATGGCTAGGAGCCGGGTTGCTTCAGTTTCTGGACAAGATGGGGTCTGATAAGCTAGCCTAGTCAGGAACTACACAATACTGTCTCCAGCGCCTTCCCTTTATGAAAGTTGATGCTTTTATTCATGTCTTCATGAGAATAGGTGTGCATTCTGTTATTTTGACTGATGACCTGTCCTCAATCCCAACAGGTCAGGGAACAGTAGGGTATAAAACCATGCATCTCCCTGCTTCAGTAGGTTTACAGTTGAAAGGCAAGTCCATGCTTCATGTAGCTGATGCTGTTACTGGATACATGGTGCGCACCGACCCCTCTCGCTCTCCAGGCTTCAGCGAAAGCCTGCATTCGCCCCATAGGACGCACACACATTTCCCCTTCATTTTTGGAGGGGGAAAAAGTGCGTCCTATAGGGCGAAAAATACGGTACTTTTACATCTTATTCAGTTTTTTTGACTTCCATCAATACTGCCTGAAAATTTTCCAATCTAATCTCTTAGTATACATTTCTTATTTTCCCTATTACATTTCAAACTCATAACCAATATCTCTATCTTTTTCTACTTTGTAACACTGTATATTTCTCCTTACAAAACTTCTTGTAGTCCTACTAGCGTAATTTGTTGATTACCGTTGCTCTTCAAATAATTCATATACTTCTTCCAATCTTCTTTAAATCTCTGGTCCCGCAGGTTTCGAATCCTTTTTGTCCAATTCTGCACAGTCCAATTCTGCATAGTCCATTATGTCCAATTTTTGTCCAATTCTGCATAGTCCATTAATTTCATCTGCCATTCTTCTTTCATTGGAATTTCTTCTTGTTTTCATTTCTGGGCTAACAATACTCTTGCCACAGTTGTTGCATATAAAAGCAATTTAACATATTGCCTATTAATGTCCTGACCTATAATACTAAGTAAAAATGCTTCTGATTTTAAAAAAATGTATATTTCAGCATCTTTTTCATCTCATTATATATCATTTCCCAGAAGTTCTTTACTTTTTTACATTCCCACCACATATGATAAAATGTACCTTCTTTTTCTTTACATTTCCAACATTTATCATATGTATTGACATGTCTTACCAGTTTTGAGCCATTGAGAACTCTTGAATTCAAGAGAGTTGCAATATGTTATGTGAAATGAAATAATGCAATTAAAAAAAAACCAAACCTCCAACTCTACCCCCCCCCCACTTTCCCCTTCACTTTCCCTAAGGTAAAAAGGTAAAGGGACCCCTGACTATTGGGTCCCGTCGTGACCGACTCTGGGGTTGCGGCGCTCATCTCGCTTTATTGGTCATGTGGCCAGCATGACTAAGTCGCTTCTGGCAAACCAGAGCAGCGCAGCCTGCCGGAGCGGTACCTATTTATCTACTTGCACTTTGACATGCTTTCGAACTGCTAGGTTGGCAGGAGCAGGGACCGAGCAACGGGAGATCACCCCGTTGCGGGGATTCGAACCGCCGACCTTCTGATCGGCAAGCCCTAGACCCACAGCACCACCTGCGTCCCTTCCCCTAAGGTAGCTGGATGCAAAACAGAACAGGGTTCCTGCATCTTCAACTGTTGTGTGGAAGGGTCAGGATTTCAGCAGGTGTAGCTGGAGTCACAAGCTACACCTGCTGAAATCCCCTCGTCCCCCATAACTTTAAAGGCTCAGGAACCCCACCCCTCTTCGCATGATCCGGCTACCCTGCTTTCTCATTTATTGCCTTGAGAGATGAGATCACTTGACTGATGGGCTGGCGGATCAATGGGTGTTTGGCTTTGCTACACCTGCTTCAATTTTGTATAGAGTTTCCTTTCTGCATTGCTCTGCCTTTCAGTTTTAGATCCCTCTCTCCCCCTTTCATTTGGAAACCCATCTGAGCTGAGGATAAAAGGCTCTGCTTGCTGAACTGTAGGAGATATCTCTGCCCATTCTCCTCATCTGCCTGTGCCAGATTTCCACTTTATCTTTGGAGTAGCAGAGCCTAGCTTGCAATCAGTAATGTTTCGTAAATGACTAACCACAGAGAAGCCTCTCTCTTTTTGCCTTCCTTGGGCCCTGATGAGAGATGCTTGTGTTAGCTTCATTATAATTTCAGGGCTTAAACTGGAGATTAATTTGGGCCTGTTTCAGCTTTTCTCCTGTCTCCATTTGCCCACTCCTTGAACATGTGGTTTCTCTTAGATTTGGGCTATAAAGCAATCAGATCTCCCATTTCTCTCCTTGCTCTTGCTAATAATAAATAACACAGAAGACACATCAGTGTTTAGGATTCAAGAAGCTTGTCACTTGAAGGCAGTGGCTGTGAATGAGCTTTAAAGGGCATCTTTAAGGTGATTTCCAGTATTTTAAAAATATTTTCCTCTTCCCTGGTGCTGACAGTTCCTTATTAAGGAAGCAACAATGAAGACTGTTGTTCTTCTTTTACTGTGTACTCGCTTTTGCTATTGGGTCCACCTTTGTTCTTGCTGAGCTGCATACTGAATGTGTAGCTGCGTATTGAATACTGTGTGTGTTTGGTTTCAATATCAGGATTCTTTCTCATGTTAAAATACGCAGATATTGGAGCCGTCCACTGTCTGCAACTAGGTGCTGTCTGAATGACAACTAGATTGGAGAGAGGAGACCTAGGCTGAAAGGATGCTGTACCATTCGCTGGTCGTCCTCCCTCTGGTTTGGATTAACACCATCTTTCAAAGAGCAGAATGCTTCGTCAGTTGTGATGGCGACAAGCACATTGGCAGAATTTTGCAAGAGAAGGGGAGCAAAAATGAAATGACAGTATCTCTCTTAAGGATCTCTATGGTGCACCTGGTTTCATCCCACAGAGGAAGCATCATTGCCTGCTGTTAAAATCCTTTGCTTCTTTTGCAAATCAGGTCTCATTTACCGTATTTTTCACTCTATAGGACGCACCGGACCATAGGACGCACCTTGTTTTAGAGAGGAAGAACAAGGGGAAAAAAATTCTCCCCCTCTCTGCTCAGCGCCCCTTCAGTGAAGCGGCAGGAGAAACGGAGCCCCTTCCATTTCTCCTCCCGCTTGGCTGAAGGGGTGATGCGCAGCTCTCCCTCTCTGCTGAAGCCAGGAGAGTCTTGCTCTCCCGGCTTCAGTGAAAGGAACCCGAAGCCTGCGGAGCGCAGCGGGAACTCACACTGTGCTCCAAAGGCTTCAGGCAGCTATCCCTGAAGCCTGGAGAGCGAGAGGGGTCGGTGCGCACCAACCCCTCTCGCTCTCCAGGCTTCAGCGAAAGCAATGTGAAGCCTCCGGAGCGCAGAGGGAGTGCTCGCTCTGCGCTTCGGAGGCTTGGCGTTGCTATCGCTGAAGCCAAGGAGCCTGCATTCGCTTCATAGGACGCACACACATTTCCCCTTAATTTTTGGAGGGGGAAAAGTGCGTCCTATAGAGCGAAAAATACGGTAGCTAGGGTTAAAACATAACTGCACCATCACCTAGCACCAGTTCACACATACATATTTCAAACCTAGACCTAAACTACTAGATGAATCCAACTTTCATGTGTGAAGGGGCCCATCCAGAATAGATGAAACTGGGCTGTTGGTCAGATTTTATTTTTTGATAATTTTTTTGGTAAAAAAATAAGAAATCAATTACAGTGCTAATCATTGAAAATAGAACCAGTGCTTCCTGTAGTAAAAGAGCCACTTTCATAAGTGTCATAAGAGTTTCACAGTCTCAGGTTTCAAAGGCAGCTTTAAGGGTCTGCTACAGAATATCTTGGTTCCTGCACTAGTTTCTTATTACAGGCCTATTTATGCATGGGTTGTGTTCTGAGGCACTGTGCATTTCAGTGAAATTGCGTATATTGGGAACGCCAATTGAAAAAGCCTGCAAATACCCTCTAAACTTCTGGAAGCCCTTTGAAAAACCCTTTAAAAACACACACACCAAAAAAAATCCGCCAAACTCCACCACAATCGGCCCCCCCCCTAATCCCTTGATTTCAGAAGGAGAGGTGATATCAGGAGGGCTTGGAAACTGAAATCTCCTGCCTTGTTCAGGGTACATAGACAACTTGGAGAGGCCATGATGCTCTGGCAGCAACACAACCCTCCTCTTTGGCATGTAAGATATTGGTGACCACTGTGATAGGAATTTTATGGTCTTAGGTATATGGTAATGTTCATAAGTGTACCAACCAAGCACGTACATAGATCAGCACAGGAAGACCAACCTGGAACCATTTTGATTCCTAAACTGAGCAAATGTTTTCTCTGCAAGGTCAAAGTGGCAAACCTCCCCATTGTCTCTTTCCTCACAAATCCTCTCTTAAGGGCACATTTAAGATATGAATAGGGTGTGAGCCTGTGACCTGGCCCAGGAACTAAGTATTTATCATTACAAAAGACTGGCCAGGCTACCCAGGAAATCCAATCAAGTAACCTGCCAGACAGGAGATAAACAACGACAGGAGAAAAACAACATTCAAAATTTCTGTTTTAGACCACCTTTTCTGTGATGTAGGTATGATGTATCTGAGGAGTGGTCTTAGGTTACACCCCTTCTGTGATGTATGTATGATGTTTCTGGGGGTGGTCTTGATCTACAGCAGTGTTCCCCAACCTTGGGCCTCCAGCTGTTTTTGGACTACAATTCCCATCATCCTTGACCACTGGTCTTGCTAGCGAGGGATGATGGGAGTTGTAGTCCAAAAACAGCTGGAGGCCCAAGGTTGGGGAACACTGATCTACAGGATGGGAATTTCAAAAGTCTTTATAAGGCCTTGCATGCCATTTTTCTGGGTCCCTCCTCTCTCCTGCGGGTGAGGGGAGCACCCTGTTGCAACAGTTCAATAAAGATCAAGCTTACGAGCTGCTTTGCTTCTCAATATTCTCTGCTTGGCCTCTGTTATTCTCTCCTACCAATAGGGAACCTATGTAAGGACTCTATATGAGCTCTTGGAAAAGGGCAATTTTTGTTTACAACACCAGACACTCCAGCTTTTGGTCGACACTGACAAAACTTCTTCCGTCTTCTTTGCAGGTGAGAAGCCTTACAAGTGTTCGTGGGAAGGGTGCGAGTGGCGTTTTGCACGAAGCGACGAGCTCACGCGACACTACCGGAAACACACGGGGGCAAAACCCTTCAAGTGCAACCACTGCGACAGGTAACTTGCATCCCACCTATTGGTTCAAGAGCTGCCCTCGAGGCAACTTGGAGGGAAATCTTTTTTTTTTTTTAAAAAAAAGGAATGCTTAATGCAACGTTGGCTGCTTATTTTGGAGGAAGGGGAATCGGTCACACAAGAGCCCCCGTGATTGAGCTATAGGGTTACCTTTCAGCCATGCATCTCCAAACATTTCAAGGTTGATTCCACTTCCTTGGACGGAAAGGGAAACAGGCCCTGCCCAGTAAGCAAACAAGGTTTCCAGTTCAGTCCCTGGAATCTCCAGTTAAAACAGTCTCGGATATTAGCAGCTGGAAAAATCTCTCTTCCAGAGACATTCAAAAGTTGCTTCCAATCAACGCAGACAATACTGGCTTAGGCAGTGGTGGGGCTTGGCTTGTTCGTTGCCGATACATTAACAGAGTGCGCATTTCAAAAGCCCATAATTCTGTTGCAGATATAAATATTTTACTCGCCCAGATGTGAATATTTTATTTCTTTCCCTATTAAGCAAGACTGGCTTACCCCACTGGGCAGGGTGAGCATTTGTCCGGAGTCCAAGGAAGTGGAGCACGCTTTCATTTACAGGAATTGCATGCTAGGAAATCTCTTGGTATTTGCACCAGACCATCAGCAAAATGCACAGGTACAGATGAAATGCTATGGTGTCAGCTGGCCCTCTTTCATAAACAAACAAGGATGTTTGGTGAGGGCGGCCATGTGTGGTTTTTCCCCTTTCCCCTTCCTCATTCATGTCTAAAGCTGGAGCCTGGGGTAATATTTGCAATAGAACGCATATGCTGTAAGGGAAATGAAACTTCCCCCCGTCTTCCTCTCTGCTTGCTATCGCTTGACATCCTTTTCTTCCCAGCTCAGATAGCTTCCATTATGAGAGACAGACTGGAAGCAAAAACAAACAAAAAAGGGAGCAGTGGGAGGAAAGGGGAGATATTGGGAGGGGGAGCTGGCCTTCACCCCCAATCCGAGCACATCTTTTGTTTAAAAACACTCTGAGTTGTGCAGGCTTGTTGGTTGTTTGAATTTGTTACCTGCCCTCCACTGCAAGGTTCCAAATTGGCCACTTGCCCGGTCACGGGGCGGATGATAATTGTGTGTCAAGGTCCCCAGGTCCACCCCAATAACTCACACATCACACAGAATTTTTGTTTAAGGTTTTTGGCATAATTTTGGCCACAGCTTTATTAAAATACAAAAATGTGAGTGGTTGCTTAGGCATTGGTTGGGACTATCTGCCCCCACCATGGGGGACAGACTGACATTCCGCACGATGCGAAAGTCAGAAAAGGGGAATACACTTGGGGGTAGCGACAGAGCAGGGAACCTGCCCTCAGCCCTCCCCAAATGCAACCAGGAGCTCTTGCAATGGCCCGAGCCCCCTTGAAAGGGTGGACAAGCAATAGTTAGCCCCCAATTCCTTTAACGGAATCCCTTGCAGCAGCAGCATTGGAGGGGCAGGCACAGCCAATCCATGCCCCTCAACCACCCATACCATAAACCAATGCCTAACCGCAACCTTACAAGTTGTGACGATTTGCTATGCAGTAGGCAAAAACCAAATGGCACCAGCCAATCAGCCAGATGGACAAAATTCCTACCGGGCCCCTGCCCCAAAGCAGACGACCCCATGACAGGCATAGCAAGGTCAAAGCAAACAACCCTAATTCTAGGGAGGGGGGGGGACAGGTAATCCGATGCATGGGCGAAAAGAGGAAGCCCTAGCCTCGTGCAAGGAGTTTTAGCATTTCTGGCTGTCAATAAACAAATGGCAACATTAACTTCTTCCCAACAACAAGGGAAGCCCCAATCGCATCAGTGGCCAACGATCAATTAGGCCGCCCCCAACTTTGGAGCGTCCTGGCAGCCCCCACCGCAACACGTGCTCTCCGTGAAGGAGAACACGCTTTGTGGCTCGTCGCACCAAAATCCTACCGTTGGGAAGCAACACCACAGCTAGGCGATCGTCCGTTGGGGAATTCCTAGGCCGGCCACTGGGCCATCTGTTTATTTGAATCCTGGCCAACCTGGCCAGGTGGGCGGGGCTTGGGACCAGATAAAGACCGGGTGCTGTCAGACAAAGAACCATTCCAGGGAACCTACATTCAATGAAACACATTTAATAACCTTAAAACCAAAATTAAAATACAAAGTTTATTACTGTGCAGAAGCGGGGAAGGACCAGTCCGGTCTTAAATAACTCGGCTGCTCCCCAAAGCCTGCGCAAAGAAGTGTATCCTGGCTACCTGGCGGGGGGGAAATATGGCGACTGTGTCAGGAGCAACTCTGAGGGGAGGGAGGTCCATAATTGAGGGCCACCAGACAGAACAAACATGGCTCCCCTGTCATATATATATATATGACCCTGAGAAGGTGACATGAGAGGGTCTTTGGAGAGTCAGCAAAGAAAATAAAGAAAAAGGAGGGGAAGGAAGGAAGGAAGGAAGGAAGGAAGGAAGGAAGGAAGGAAGGAAGGAAGAGGCCAAGCCTCTAAACAGTGTTAAGATAAGTCAATTTAATTAGACATCTAAGCGGGCTATAGGTTTTGGTTTTCATGCTCCTCAAGGGCCCAGCAATCCTTTTATCCAGTTCACTAGGACAGATGTGGCAACCACTGGTTGCGCATAGTCACGTGTGGAGACACAGGCTTGGACACGGATGAGAGCCAGTGTGGTGTAGTGGTTAAGAGCGATAGACTCGTAATCTGGGGGAACCGGGTTCGCTTCCCCGCTCCTCCTCATGCAGCTGCTGGGTGACCTTGGGCCAGTCACACTTCTCTGAAGTCTCTCAGCCCCACTCACCTCACAGAGTGTTTGTTGTGGGGGAGGAAGGGAAAGGAGAATGTGAGCCGCTTTGAGACTCCTTCGGGTAGTGATAAAGCGGGATATCAAATCCAAACTCTTCTTCTTCTTCTTTTACAATGTAACCTTCTAATTCATGCCTGTGTCCTTGTTCTTATACTTGCAATTGCATGCGAGGGTGTCCCTCCCCCCCCCCCGTTTTTGTTTGAAAAGAACAATAAAAATACATTGAAGAAGAAAAGAGCAAACCACATTTCAAACTATTTGGCATAAAATTATTTATATCGCCATTTGCAATCACAAAAATAAAAGCATGAATGGAAACAAATCTAAGCCATTAATACAAAATAATGGCTTGAATAATGTAAAGCATGCCTAAATTGAATAGTTAAGTCACAAAGCATCCACATCTAATAAATAAAACGTAAAAAATAAAATGAAACAGAGAGGACTGCAGGCATATTGTGCTTATGAAGATTTCTGTAGCCGCCACAGCCTTAAAGGAAGTGCAGCTAAAAGTGCACTTTCAAGCTATTTAGCCTTCTTACAGTGTACTTATGTATATAAAGGCAAATAACTGCACAGTCACTTTTTACCTTTATAGGCAGCTGTTATTTGTGGTTGCCTTTTACGCTCAGTTTCCTTAGAAGCTATGGAGCTCTTGGTTACTTTTGAAAACTTGCTGTAAGATTTAACAGATCTTACAGACTGGAATACTTGGCTCAGTGTACTTTAGACTATCTGACTGTTAGCATAGCATTGGCAAAATAAAATCAGACTTCCCAGTAATAAAACCAAATAGCACTGTCATTGCCAAGCAGTAAACCACCTAATTTGAGAGACTGGCCATGCGCAGTCTAAAGCTGAGATCTTGCCGAGGCAATAATCAAATAATATCTTACATCTGGCCATGCCATCTTCTGAAATCCTATTTATATATGTAACTTTGAGAGCAGGTTTTGGAAAATTACCCGTCCTTTTAAAGCAGCCCTCAAGACTTCTGCTGCAATAAGGAAATGCTTTTAATACAATCAATTCTCTCTTTAGTTCCTGAACACATTTAGATTGCTGGGGTTCACGTATAGAGAAGAGGACGTAAACAGATACCTGTTCTCTAACAGGGGAAGAAATATCATTTTTCACATTCTGTCTGTCGGCTGCGCCCATTCATCCCACCAAGTTTAATAATAATAATAATAATAATAATAATAATTTATACCCTGCCCATCTGGCTGAGTTTCCCCAGCCACTCTGGGCGGCTCCCAATCAAGTATTAAAAACAATACAGCGTTAAATATTAAAAACATCCCTGAATAGGGCTGCCTTCAGATGTCTTTTAAAGATAGGGTAGCTACTTATTTTCTTCACATCTGATGGGAGGGTGTTCCACAGGGCGGGCACAACTACCGAGAAGGCCCTCTGTCTGGTTCCCTGTAACCTCACTTCTCGCAATGAGGGAACCACCAGAAGGCCCTCAGCGCTGGATCTCGGTGTCCGGGCTGAACGATGGGGGTGGAGATGCTCCTTCAGGTATACAGGACCGAGGCCGTTTAGGGCTTTCAAAGTCAGCACCAACACTTTGAATTGTGCTCGGAAACGTACTGGGAGCCAATGCAGATCTCTCAGAACCGGTGTTATGTGGTCCCGGCAGCCACTCCCAGTCACCAGTCTAGCTGCTGCATTCTGGATTAATTGCAGTTTCCGGGTCACCTTCAAAGGTAGCCCCACGTAGAGCACATTGCAGTAGTCTAAGCGGGAGATAACTAGAGCATGCACCACTCTGGTGAGACAGTCCGCGAGCAGGTAAGGTCTTATCCTGCGTACCAGGTGGAGCTGGTAGACAGCTGCCCTGGACACAGAATTAACCTGCACCTCCATGGACAGCTGTGAGTCCAAAATGACTCCCAGGCTGCGCACCTGGTCCTTCAGGGGCACAGTTACCCCATTCAGGACCAGGGAATCCTCCACACCTGCCCGCCTCCTGTCCCCCAAAAACAGTACTTCTGTCTTGTCAGGATTCAACCTCAATCTGTTAGCCGCCATCCATCCTCCAACCGCCTCCAGGCAGGACATTCACCGCCTTCACTGGTTCTGATTTAAAGGAGAGCTGGGTACCATCCGCATACTGATGAACATCCAGCCCAAACCCCCTGGTTTTTCCTCTGACAGCGCTGCCTTCCTTTT